AGTCACCCCGCATACTCCAGAGCGTGCCCAGCCTGGAAAAAACAAAAGGAAATAATAACTATAAAAGTAAAGGAAAATATCACATTCAGGGAAGCAAGACAACGGATTTCGTTAACATTGGCACTAAAAACACCTTTCGCCGAAGTGGTGCAACGAGGGGCGGCACCACAAAGGCCCTTGGCATTTGCCCGGACCTCACCTAGCGAGCCGAGGCCAATGCCACAAGCCCCTACGGCGGGAGCAGCCAGCGCTGCCCTGCCCAAATTCAGCCTGTCCACACCAGTGACCTCTACAAGCTCTGGCAGCAGCCAGGGCAATCAAGAGGCCAAGGGGGCTTTATCGACCCCCAGCTCGGTAGGGACAAAGACTTCGTCGATCGAGGCGAAGTCTAAGCGACGCACAGATCGCTCTGTAGAGCGGGCGTCCAGTGCTTCGCAAGAGGCTATGGACACCAGTCCAAGCCAAACAGCGCAGGAAGCGCCGAAGGAGCGGCGAGCTTCTCTCGACCGCCCCCAAAAGGACAGAACGCCGATTACAGGGCCTGACAAAGGCCCTGTAAAATGAGCTAATCTCCGTCTTTTCTGCACACAGCACTTTTCCCTTTTTTTTTCCCACTATGGACAACATCATACAGTGGAACGTAAGGGGAATACTTAGAAATTTAGATGACGTCCAAGAACTTCTGAGTAAGTTCAACGCGAAAGTACTGTGTGTGCAAGAAACGCACTTAACTCCTAAGCACAAGGACTTCCTACGACAATATATTACTTTCCGAAAAGACCGGGAGGAGGCTGTCGTACCATCTGGCGGTGTAGCCATTATAGCTGATCGTAGTATAGCATGCCAACATTTGAAGCTCCAAACGGCCCTTGAGGCAGTGGCCATTCGAGCTGTACTTTTTAACAAACTCATTACCATATGTTCTGTGTACATACCACCGCATCAACAGCTACACAGATGTGATCTAGAATCATTAATAGATGAACTCCCAGAGCCGTTCCTGGTTCTAGGTGATTTTAATGCACACAATGTCCTGTGAGGCGATGCTCACTGTGATGCGCGAGGACGTCTCATTGAGCAGCTCTTTTTCTCTTCTAGTTTATGTCTTTTAAATATAAAGGAGCCTACGTATTTTAGCCTTGCAAACAACACGTACTCCTCCATAGATCTTAGCATTTCATCACCATCCCTTTTACCTATCTTTAAGTGGAACGTTCTTAAAAACCCTTATGGGAGTGACCACTTCCCGCTCATACTGAGTGCGCCGAACAAAGATCAACTACCCCCGCAGGTTCCTCGATGGAAGATTGACTTAGCTGATTGGGAAGGGTATAGAACTCTTACACACATGACATGGACTGAGCTGTCTGCCCTGACCATAGATGACGCTGTCACGTATTTTACAGCTTTTATACTTGATGCCGCATCTAAATGTATTGCCAAAACGAGCGGCATGTCTTCTAAAGGGCGAGTCCCAAGTTGGAACGACGCATGCAGGAAAGCACGGACCACTCAGAACAAAGCATGGGCGTTGCTTCGCGATTTCCCTACAGTTGAAAATCTGGAAAATTTCAAGCGGGTCAAATCGCAGGCAAGGAGAACGCGTCGACAAGCTAGACGAGAGAGCTGGACAAAGTTTATATCGAGCATCAACTCGTACACAGATGAGGGAAAAGTGTGGAATAAGGTAAAGAAAATTAAGGGCCAACAAACGTATTCTCTTCCACTAGTAAATAGCCTCGGGGAAAGCTTGGAAGATCAAGCCAACTCTCTTGGCACACATTTCGAACATATATCGAGCTCCTCACACTACTCCGAATCCTTCCAGAATTACAAGGCACGAATAGAAAAACAAAAGTTAGAAAGAAAATCTGCAAGAAATGAGACATATAATGCACCATTCTGCTTAGCAGAACTGCGAACAGCACTTAGCTGCTGTAATACATCTACCCCTAGGTTCTGACAACGTAATAAATGTGTTGGCCGACCAGCTCGCCAGGTCAATTAACAGAAGCTCTGCCAACTCCTCAGTTGCTGTCCCTATAATGGACCTAAAACGAAACATACGAAAAAAGCTCAGGGCTTACTGGCAGAAGTTATGGGATCAACAAACTCATAACAAGTTACACTTGATTAAACCATACCTCGGTAACTGGCCACCCACGTCGAAAACACGCCGTACAGAGGTGAGTCTCTGTCAGCTTAGAATAGGACACACACACAGCACGCACACACCTTTTGTCCAGTGGTGACCCACCCAGCTGTCACAGATGTGGCCGTCCACTTACTGTACTTCACATACTCCTTGAATGCTCTGAGCTAGAGGCTTACAGGAAAAAACATTTTCCACTAGCGTACAAGGAACACATACCCCTTCACCCTGCTATGTTTATTGGTCGCGAACCTCTTTTTAAATATAATGCATTGAATGCATATTTAAAGGAAGTAAATACTTTCCATGTTATCTACTCAAGTGATCGGTAGCACGGCCTCTGAAAAGAGGCTGCTGCTGCGGATGCTACATCCAAAAGAGCACCTGTCTCCCGGCCCTTGGGACCAAGGGCGCTGGCGAGAAATCGGTGCTAATATAACGCTCCTATTTTATGATGTCATGATAACTAAAGACTCATTTTCACCAGGCATGCTTAACTTCACTTTCAAGATTTTAATAAATATATGTCTTACGCATCTTTAGAGCGCAGAATTTTAGGCCCTTTTACAGCCATTTACCATAACCATTGCTCTCATCCGATATCATTTCCTGGCGCTCTTTGGCCATCAATGGCCCTTGCGTCATTAAACAACATATATCATCATCATCATCTGTCATCGCATCTGCCTCTCTGAAAAGGTCTCATTTCGCTATGACGAAAAATACAAAGTTCTGTGCAAAGTCACTGACCTCACCTACGAGATAAAGGTAGTTGTCGATTCAGCGCACTCAATGCCACAGCAATAAATTGTTGTGCACATCGTAAGACTGAAGCCGTATGTGCCACCCAACACTCCACTTTTGTGACAAGTGTGGCGTCGGCACTTTTACATTGTGGGGTAGTGTCACAAGGTAGTAGTGAGTTTGGGGCATAAGGCGGCAAAGTGTCCCAGTCTAGGGAGGACAACTACAATGTGTTAAGGCTGATTCCAGCCCGCCAGTGTGCCAGCCATTACCTCCACCTATATATATCTGTAAATATACGTTTTCTTGTAATAATATTAGTGGTGCACAAATTATGCAAGGGCGTAAGTTATATAAGTGAATACGGTACTAACGGATCATTGCTGCCCATGTAATGTTGCCTTCTTCTGCATTTTCTAGTGGCGGGCCATCTGTTGTCAACAGCATTTCTCTGATAAATTCCATCTGAGTAATGTTCTTGAAAACAGATAGCTGGGGACTAGACAGTGCAGATATTGATTTCAGCATGCACACCTGTAGTGTGTATACTTTTGCTCATACGTGTACATTTTATCCACTTTCTTCTAACGCTGTGAGTGTGTGTGGGTGTGGTGCATTGGCATGGTCAGTAGAATGATGACGTCAGGGTTGGCAGCTTTCTCAAATACCATATTTACTCGTGTAATGAACGCACCCCCAACTTCAGTCGCCAAAATTTGAATTTTTTTCCCCCCTTGCGTAAGAAACTTACCCCCTATAATCATCTGCTGCAGTCCTGCTAAACGACCCATGGATGCTCTTTGCCCGTCCTTTTTTATTATTTGCCGACCCCCTTCGCCCGCTGCCACGCGCCGCATTGTTTTTCTTTCTATTTTTGCGCGGCCCGTCCCGCCTGTTTTAGTTATCTAGTATGCACGACAGTGTGGTTCACGAACGGTGCGAGTGTAGAGACATCGCAGCTGACAATCACTCAGCAAATGAAGGCCTCGAAATTGCCCGTGCCAACTGACGGTCGCTTCCCGCAATTCGATACTTTAAAGTCCAATCACATTTTTGAACGACAACAGAATTTGCTGTTGCCACGGCTGTCGCGAAGGGCCATTCGTTGCTGTCGCGTCGCAGATTTCTGGAAAACCAGAAAAAAAATCTTTTGTCACCCAGAAAAAATCGTGTCTATTGCTGCAACATGGTAGCACCCCCGATTCTCGCTTCAGTTACAATTAGCTCTTCGTGCTTGTTATCCGCACGTATTTCAAGGAACGCAAGATATAGGTTACCTTTTCAACTGTAACTTCTCATGTGGACAAAGCGGCAGTCGTATTTTGCCCTTAATATTGCTATCGATGGTTTGTTTTAATGCTTCGGTGGTAGCTTTCTTCAATGTTGGCTTCTTGCTACAGGGTCAATGGTAGCGGCGGCACGGTCATTGTCCGAGGTTGCCGTGAAGCTCCAAAGTGCATCGTAGCGCACGCTTGGGGGTGCCCCTTAAGATCACAGCAGATATTACTGTTGCGGTTAAACTATTGCGAGAAAAGATAGCCACAAAATGCTTTTATGGCGCGTTCGCGGGCGGCACGGGGACAGCTTGCAGAAGATAGCGCCATTCAATCACCGAAAATAAGTGAAGTGCAACAAAGAAGCTGTTTCCAAAGAGTGTACGCTTATGTCAATTGCGAAAGACTAAGCGACCAACTTTTTTTTTTCATTACCTCATTTTTTGCTCATCTCGAAAAAGTTTTCATAAAATTTGCCCCGCATAGTAAACACACCCCCAACTTTGCTCCGATATTTTTAGAAAAAAGTGTGTTTATTACGTGAGTAAAAATGGTAACTAAATGGGACTCGCTGAAATGGACATGTCAATTAGATGAGCAGTTCGAAAATTATTCCCCCGGCGTAGTTCGTGCTGAATGTTGCATTTTAACGACTGACTGATATGTAGTGTGCTGATTAAGCAGAACTGCAGTTTCGCAAACCTTTTTTTCGTTTTTAAAGCCATTCATTGGATGGCCAAATGGTCAATAGGTCAGAAACACCTGCAACTACAACTGGCATTTGTCCCCGTGTTGTGTCGTCACCGCCCTTTTGTTTTGATCACCAACAGGTGGCAGAGTTCGAGGTGCGTCGCGAGTGTCCCCGCCTGCTGAACCTGGTGTACTATGCGTCCAAGGCACGGCACCGTCTTGAGCTGCTCTCGCAGTTGGGGCACCCTGCCAGCGGGGTGTCAATCAACGTGCTCAGCATGGCCGCTTCAGACTTCGCACGCGTCTTCTACAGCGGCAGCGACCGCGGCCGACCCCGCGAGACTTCAGAGTATCTCGCGCACCTCCTTGGGAAGCCAGAAGCGGAGGTGAGTAGAATTGAGGCGTAATCTTGGAGCAAAATATTTGCCTATGTTGGACGGGTTTTTTTTTAGCTCTGTTGTGTATTTTGCTGGTGTCAGATGTTGCCAAGGTTGGGTGTTTCAATTTCTAGCAGCAGAAAGAGAGTTGCGAAAGGCAAGCATTCACATGCCACTGGCATTTCACTGAAACTGGGGTTCACGGTAAGGCTGCTCTATTCAATGATCTTCTCTTCGTGTCTTCAGGTGCGTCAGCGGCTGGCCAGTCATCCATCAGCCAAGCGAATATCTCTGCTGAACACTCGCCGTGTTGTCGACTGGCTCTTGCCACGAGGAGTTACCTACGAGCAACTTTGGTATGGACTTCAGGTGAGCAAAAGGTTGCACTGACCACCTCACAGCGGTTTGTGATGTCTCCGAATCAAAATGAAGTTCTTTGCTTGTCAGCCTGCCTGACTGTCACGTATCACTCCAAAGGACAAGTATTAAACTCAATAAAGTGGAATGCTGGGCCAGTTGGTACAACATAATGTAGAAATATATGCACACACACGCACACACACGCATGTGTGCACACACACACACAGACAAACAGAAAGAAAGAAAGAAAGAAAGAAAGAAAGAAAGAAGAGCACTTGACAGGAAAGACGCTCGAAATCCTTCTACCTTGTGCGCTCATATATTTCCACAAGTTTTCAACTTGCACCTTGACTGAAGTAACAATGTAGTGGCAGGTGTTTGAAGAATGTTGCAATATGAATATAAAATTATAAGATAAATTCAAACCTGTGTGGAAGCAGCATGCATTGATCACTGCCGTTTTATTTGCATTCCATCTTGGCCACTTTATTTTTCTTTGTTACGTGGACTCTGCTGAGTAACAATACAGATTTGCATAGTTCATGGTGTCAGGCGAACATTGTGTTTCAGTGTCATGCTAATAATTTTTCTCTCAGCTGACTCGTTAAAGACTTAAACTAACAGAAAGCTGTTAAAGCTTTATGTCATGTGTGTGTATACTGTACGCAAAGTTAGCAGGTATGTTTTTGGTGCACATATTTCATACACTGCTGTCTCAGAGTCACAGGCACGTCTGGAAGCTGTTATTTGTTCTCTGGAAATTCATTAATTTTTTGCACTCTCAAGACTCTTGTACATCACAGACAGGAGTGACATTAAGAGAAGTGCTAACAAGCTACAAAAGCTAACATAATTTCTGTAGATTTTCTGAATTTGGGCTAAGTGTGAAACGCTAGTCTTGACAAGTTCTTGGGCATTTTAAAGCCTTTATGGCGAATCAGTACACTAAGAAGAGTTAAGTTATCAGAACAGCATAATGTGATTGCATGATTATTCTCTTTTTAAGGAGAACTTTTTGCTGGGCGAGTTGGTGCATGTCTGTGGTATGTAATGTTGCGGTTGATAGTTTGCATTCTTTCTCTTTAAGCCTTTTTACTCCCTATGTTCGTTCGATTGTATGTGCAACGTTACATGCCACAGATTATTCTCTTGTCGGCTACTAATACAGTCGAGCCCGCTTATAACGAACCTGAGCGTGACGCGGCATCCTTTTGCTGTATCCCGAAGTTTGTAGTAAATGAAACACAGCTTTTAAAAAAAGTTGCGAGTGAAAACACAAACTTTTTTGGCCCTAAAAAGTCCGCGATGCACATGTTTTGAAGAGCAGAAGCGATAAGGGCGGTCTCGAGTTCATTTAAAGCGGCTGAGTGCTCGTTCGCCGAGGCCCGCGGCATAAGCTGCATGAGGCACTGGCTCCAAAGTTTAGTTGTTCTCGCAATCCGATTCCTCCAAATCGCTCTCGCCACGTACTTAATTCACAATGCCCCAATCCGTGCACGGTTCCGCAGTGTCGGCACCATCATCGGCTGTAATTAAACCATCGCAACGGATGTCTCACCCGCTCTCCCAGGTCGGAGTCGACGCGTGGCCACGAATCACCGCCGCAGTGGTCCTGTTCGGAAGCTTCAGGCTCGGCATCGGGCCCGACGTCGACGAAGTCGGCCTCGCAAAAACAGTTTCGCGTGCATGTAGTCGTCACCGCCGCCCACGAAGTATTCATCATCTCCACAGCTGAATAGAGGGATTCCTGAAGCGGCAAGTTGGCTGCCAGGTAGTCAACAGCTATAAGCAAGCGCTCCGCAACGCGGCACCTAACGCGCTGATTACGCTCAAGCCAAGCGGTCACAGTTTCGACGTTTTGTTGAGTGGTACGAAGAAGCGTGCTAGTCCTCCCGTCGGCCATCATGACCGCACATGCACACCAAGAGCGAGCAAGACGCGCACACGCGACACACATGCCAGAGCGCGTGGAACAGCTCTAGGCCCGTTTCCAGTCAGAAAACGAAACTAATTCGAGCCAGTGTGGCGGGCGTCGGGGAGTGGCGGAGACGGGCGAAGGGGTTATGAACAAGAGAAGTGAGCAGACTTGCGAGAGAAGGGCAAGGAGTTGCGATAAAGAGAGGAGAGGATGCGATGGGAGGGCGACCTTGAAAACCAAAACACACGGGAAGGAGGCAGGTTGAGTAGCTTGCTTGCAAGGTCTGCGAAACTCGCACGTAGAAAAACTTGGGAAGAGTGTATGGCCACCTGAATCAGGGGGCAAAGGACGGAGGGGTGCATAACAAAAAGCGGTCGGGGAGAGCGGCAACTAGAGCGGTGTGGAGGCAGGATCGGCGTTTAACAATAAGAATGTATGGGCACCTCGCCGATGCCTGATCGGTGGTCGAAATTGGTTTCCCGGGAAATCGGCAGACCGCTGACTCCTTTCGCTGGAACCGATCGGCAGCGCTCGAAGACGTTCGTTGTAAGTGCGATTTTGTGCCATTGAACCAATGTATATTTTGACGGTCATGCGGATATTGTTCGTTTTAAGTGAAAGTTCGTTTTAAGTGGGGCTGTTATATGTGGGCTCGACTGTATTCAGCGGAAAACCACCGATTAGACTTTTTCAGGACATAAGGGGGGAGGCTACACTTGATGGACAACTTTTTTATTTATGTATAGATCTAAGTGAAATTTTTATAGTTTATGATTTGGATGTGCAGATTCTAAAAATTTAATTACTTTTTTTGATAGGTCAAGTAGTTTCCAAGATATTGTACAATCAATGTATCGCCTGGGTCCTTTGCTAGCAGTCTATTTAGCATCTAAGCAGGGAGCACCAAAACATAGGCGACAGTTTAGAAACAATGTAGTAGGACGTTAAAAGAGTGCAATATGCTATAAATCGATTTGCTGGGCCAGTTTCAACAATGTTCACAGAAAAAAAAAGCCACCTTCACCTGTCACATGTGTGACCCAATTTAAAAAAAAAATTGATCTGTATATTGCCATCAAAATTGGTGTATTGTTCATACTGCATGCACTTATCTTTCTGTAAAAAAAAGAATTATGCTGATAGCTCAAATGGAACAGAAGTTACTCTCCCTCCAACTTGGCAATTGTGCCAAAGTCGCTGTTTTGAGAAAACAAGGGAAAATGTTTCAAAACACTTTTATTGAAAAAATACTTGCAATAAAATCTTATGAAAATGCACCAGGGAAAAAATCTGGATGCATCCCATTCTTATGCTTCTTCTTGACCAGCTTTGTCAGACTTTGGAACGCTTCTCTCAATTTATTTGAGGTTGCACTCTGACAACAGTCATTCTCCCAAGCCCTCAGGGATGTGCTGCTGAATACCGTGATGTCCAGCTGCTCTAGAATCACAGCAAATGCAGACGTTGTCCGTGTTGAAGTACAGCACTGCTTTTTGCTCGCACAGCAAAAAGAAAGAGAAGCGTGCTGCTCCTTTGATACCAAACTCCATATTATGAATTGGAGGCTTTCGTGTGAATTCTGAGTCGTGCCTTGCTGGCATCTTGCCTCGCTGCCGCACCACTTGACTCCGCAAAGCACTCAATTTTTTGCATGGTTGTCTCGCGGGTGCGCATTGTGAACCTCACTGGCACCAATCACATCAGCGTCTACACGCACACGGCCAGAGTCGACATCGCGCGCGCTGTCTGGGAGGCCTGTGCCTATGAGCACTTCACCGTTGCGGATAGCATCGGTGCAGTCATAATCCACAGAGCATGCGCTATCCGGGGAAGCCATCTCGCACACTCCTTCATTGATAACATCTTCAGTACACGGGCGGCGAGCGTCCATGCCGCGCACGCACGAGAAACCGTCTTTGATGCCCTTGTCGTTATCAAGACGGTGTTATCAAACAATGTCGGCGCTAGCTACCGCGACACAGCAGCACCATTAGGCTTTCTGCCTCCTTTTTCTTTCGTGAACGGCCAAAATAATGCTACGATCAAAACTTTTTTGCACTGCCGGGCATAGCGAGACGCACAAGCATGTTAGAGATACGAGTCACGACACCTTCGCGAGGGCGATACCTTTTCAAAATGGAGGCAGACACTGCCAGCGGGTTTTCCTGGCCAATCGGGAAGGGCCATTTTGGTCATGTGCATCAAGCAACCAATAGAATCACGGGCTACGCCTGATTTTAACTTCACTTTTTTTGCTTTTGCGAGAGACACATAGTTGTCTACTGGAAAGGCAAAAAAAGCAAGAAATGCTACCTTTCCAACTAGACAAAAATGGCGCTAGTGGAGCGTGTAGTTGGCGTGCCGTCGGCGGTTGAAGTACAGTTAGTTTACACGTCAATTTAAATGTCCACTTGCGCAAAGTTGCTCTCTTTATGGATCATAACTTGAGAAACAAGTCGAATTTCGAAGCCAAACTTTGCTGATAAGTTCGGAAGGTATCGGAAACGCGAAAAGGATTAGAGAGAAAATGCCACATTTAGGCCGATTTTCGACTTCTATGTGCCATGTCCCCCCTTAATCAACAGGAGAGGGAGACATTCCAGCTGCCGCACAATCCTGCTGCAAGGGTGAAACGGACAGGGACAGGAACAGCAGCAAACACAATGGTGCGAAGGTGATAGAATGTGCCATGATATTTACAAACTCACAACTTTCCAGCTTTCAGTAAGCTTTCAATAAGTGAATGCTTGCAGTGCATTTCATGAGTTAATATGAATCTTCTGCATTACACAGCGAGATGGCAAAGCCATAGCTGTTTGATCCTCGTAGTGATGATTGGCTCAATATACACTCAAAGCTCGATATAACGAACCCAGATCTAACGAATAACCAACCCGGATATAACGAAATAATTGTTACAGCAAAGGAAGTAGTCTTGCAGAAGATATAGTGTTGGGACCTTTGAAACAAATTCCTGGATATAACAAACTCTTTGTGTAACATCTAATTTTGGTACAAAGAGGTTTGGGTGTAACATACTGCTATCTCAAGCACCCGTGTTCATTTTAGTAATTATTAGAACAGGATCTTTTTTGCAAAACGGGCACAAACTCAACCGCAACGTCATGCAGGTGGTGCTGTATGACTCTGAGCTGGTGGCAGCCCACTTCTTGCGGCTTCCGGAGCGAGAAGAGCTGCAGCCGTACTCAGAGTGGCGCGACTGCCCCCAGCTCCTCGAGGTGCTGCTCTACTACATCGAGCGAGAGGCACACTTCTCGGGCCACACCCAGCTGGGCCTGTTCGGCGAGGTGGAGGGCGTTGACAGCACCAGCCAGGAGAAGGCCACTCAGGCGGCTTCCCTGCAGAACCTTTACTTCCACCCAGCCACTCTCCCAGTGGTGCAAAAAGATGGTGATGAGGAGGAGCGGGAAGAGGGGCAGACCGGGGAAGGCAGCTCGTCATCGTCGTGACACGCATGAGGTGATAGTGTTACGCTTGTGCTGTGACGTGCACCGAGTTACCTTGTAAATGAAAAATAAATGCCCTGCTCGTAGCAGAGCGTGTGCGAGAATCACCCTTGGGAAGCCCATTCATGCGCAAGGCAAGAAGAAAAGGAGCGAAACGGAGGAGGCTCGTTCAAGCTTGCTTCTAAAGTGATCGTACGTGAAGATACCAGCGTTTGAGGCCCTGTGGGCATCGCGTGTTGGGGCGTGTCAAGAAAACAATTCTGACAACGCTGTAGCGTCGTCACAGAGAAACCAAGGTAGATGGACTTGTTGCGATGCTTTCAGTATGGCAGACTGCGGCAAGGTGATGCAACCTCTCGAGGTGCCCCAGAGATCGGCACAATGACCTAGTCATGAAGACACTGTGCACCAGAAATGACGTGGGCTTTCTCGTCCCTACACATCTGTGACAATGGCATGCTGCAAGTGCTCTGAGCAGTGCGGGAATGCCAGTGTTGTTATGGCACTGAAGGACACTTTCAACTGGACCTTGCATTTGTGTGCAACGAGTCCAAATGTGGAGTGATCAATCGAATGAGGCACCTGCAAGAAAGCTCTAGCGGAGCTCTGGCACATACATGGGCCACAGTGCGCTACTTTAATAAAGCAAAGTAACAAAAACGTGCTATTTATCAGCTGCAGGCAAAACGGTGAAAGCGTGCTTGTAATAAACACACTTCTTTTAGATATCCAAAAATGCTTGCTTGTTATGGCAATAGAACACTGTCAGAAGTAATGAGTGATAAGCTAGTAATGGTTATGACATGCATTGACAATAAATCTCGGTGAACTTTGTTAATGTTAAAAGAAGTTCTCATTTCTTGCATAAACGTTTGTCGTTCAAGTAAATACTGTATATTCTAGCATATAACCCGCAACAAAATGTAACATGCTTCAAAGTTGAAGGGCACGTTATATGCAAGGTTTACTTGCATGCCTTAGTTTTTCTTTTTTTGTAGCGTCATAGGGGTGCAAGGTATGGGCAAGAAAATATGCTACCTGTGTCAGTAATATACACAACTCTTATAAATAATTACTGTTTTATTACAGTGAAGTGGCTTGTAGATAATTGTTATTCCAATACTGATGCCCATTTTATGTGAAGAACTATTGCAGTACCATTTTGGAGCTACAGTATCTGCACACTACATTCAGTGTGTGTGTTGATTTCACTTTCATCAATTTCTGTTTTCAAGTGGATGGTTGATATATCATCCGCATGCACGTAAGCATCAGGATTTTTTGGTAAAAATAGTGATACCCAACAGTTTTAATGTCAGATCTGTTCTAAACCTGGGCATAATTACAGATAAATGTGCATCACATGTCATGCTCTGTGTTATCCCAGATTCGCCTACAGGTTTCCTTGGTCACAGAAAGTGTAGCCACACAGTCATTTGAGGACTGGAGTGTGAATAGGGCTTAAAGTTACTGTGGCAAAAAGCTGCCACCTATGCTTTCCTCCGCCTTTCTACTCTACAAGTAACGTAATCACAGACATGGCATAAAAAATTTCAGAATATTGTGAGAGAAACGGGACTGCAGCTCCGTTTCTGCAGATTTCACACAGGGTGGAATGGGTGTAAATTTCATTAAAACTTTTTTTCTCGTGAACTGTGCACCAGGGTTGCTAACTGTAGGGTAATGACCCTACTTGTAGTTCATTTTCAGAATTTTTTGGCCAGCTTTGGGTAGTAAGGTAGTGGCGGAGGGTAATTCCCACATTTTCTTCCTCACTGATCTGTGAAAAATGTAGATCTGCTGTCACACAGGTCCCGTTAATTAGGGAGGCGATCGCCGGGCTAATTCCAAGGGCCGAAGTATCGGCCCCCAGAACCGCACCAAGAAAGCGTGGACAATTTAGAAGTGGTCCTTTTTGGCGCGCCAGCGGACGCCGGCTGTGGCCCAAAGAACAAGTCAGAGCCGAGAGTTGATAAACAAACAAAATTATATTCTCAATAATGGCAGATCAAACCAACACACAAGTATGCACACTCCACAATAGTTGCATACAATATGTCACCAATCAAACAACGTACTACACAGTACAATCAGCCACACTCGAAACAACGGACACAGACAACAATACGCACTACAATGCAGTCGCATGCATTTAACAACCAAGACACTTAAGGACTTAAGAGATAGAAAACCTATTCAGTCCAAAGTTCTTGGAACAAAAGTCTGGATGATACTCTTCCGAGAATCACTCACTCAAAGTCCCGCGTTGTCGTTCCGCAGCCCCCGAAGTTTCTCTTCCAGGAAACCTCGCGTCTTCAATTGGCCACTCTCCAAGCTTCAAGCTTCTTCGCCGGAACACGTCTGCTTCACACACGCAGCTGTTGCCACGCGTCTTCGCTCGATAGCGGTAAACACACACTCTTGCCTGTAGCTCGAGTCGTCACCCCTCAGGTGTAAATCCTCTTCATCTCCTGCTTTGTCTCTACGGACAAAACCTTCGCCGACTACACGGCGGTATACCCTACGCGCTCTGGCGCTAACTTCCGTCTTCCCTGATCTCTCACCTCGGCTGCTCGATTAAATACCCTCCGCGCGAGATTCCAGAAAGTTCTCGTCATTTCGTCGGCACGATACGCAGCGAAGGCTGGGGAGAGGGCGAACGGTTCCAATGCCATCCGCGACGTATGACTCAACCCGGCATAAACCACGCCCCTTTCCATCTAGAAAATTCGAGTGCTTGCTCGGCCGCCGTGGTGGGGTGAGGAGGTTCGTCGGCGAGCCTACGCTTCCGAGAGGGGAGGGTCGCGCGCCCGGGGAGTCTTTAGATGTTTGTTTTCTCCTTTTTTTTTATCGTTGACCTCGCAGCGTCACTCCGGCGTCTCGTCGCGAGGAGTTGGCGGCGCGCTCTTTTTGAGCGCTCGTTCTGTGACACTGCCCCCCACTTTAAGAATATTATCTCATAATATTCAAAACCACACAAACGAGCGCGAACAGTCACCACACACTCTGAAAGACTGTAACGCAAACCGTCACTCATGACACTTCGCATTCACAATAAATCACTCAATACAATTGTACATGGTAATTCAATCTCACAACACATGAAATATAACCACAGGTGCATGAGTACAACACTCCATCACATATTCCAGACAATACACATGTACAAAGTTCTCTCATTACAACAATTGCACAACCCTATACATCACGTCACAGCGCAAACACTTCGACACTTGTGACACAGGATAACACAATAACAACACAGCTGAACGCATTCCAATTTGACCTCAGCACCTATACCATGTACTTCGAGCTGCGCTTGCGTCCTTTCTTGCGGTGCTCTCGATCTCTTCTTATTGTTTTTGCTCGTTTTGTTCCGGCGAGCCCCTTCCAACGACGGTATCTGAGGCGACGTCTCAGCCATCGTTGTCTCTTCCGACACTGCTAACGGGTCATAACATTCGACGGGTCCTGTCTGTTTATTTACCAGCTTGTTCATGTCTCTAGATTTGGCCCAGCTGGCCAACTTCGTCACCTTTACACTGCCGGTCGGTTGAAGTCGTGCCAACGTACGTTTAGCTGCCCAGCACGTGAACTCATTCAACACGATCATCTTCTCATTCACTGTCTCTTGCACCGCGGCTTCACCTTGGGCTCTAGTGAGATCCGTCACGGGCTGCTCCTCCACTGTATCTCGCGGTCACTGGGTTGGCGAGGGCTCTATCTTAGGGTCTTCTCCCAAACATTCCGGATCATTGGGTCCTCGCGCCCCGTCGATGTTTCCGATGACAAGGTCGTACAGGGGGGTCGTCATGCATAAAGCAGTAACCTTCCCGCTGAAGTACGGGGTTTCAACCTCAATTTCTGCTTCGGGAAGCATCCAAACCGTACTGGTCAATTAGGCAAACCGGTTTCGTTTTGCCTGTTAACTCACTTTCCCGTACCAAATTTCTCCGCACGATAACAGTGGAGCTGCCGGTATCTCTCAACACCGTAACCTTTTTTTCCGCAACTTTTCCAGGCAGCGTTGGCATTCCCTTCGAAACACCGGTTGGCTGTTTTGCCATTACCGCACCCACAATAGGAATGTTCTCCCCACTTTTCAACTCTACGAATCCATCTGTGACGGCATTTTTACCGGATTTCGGTGCCGCTTGCACACAGGATACCTGGTGAGTTTGACTCGCTCCGTTTCGACATGCGTCTGCTTTGTGCCCAGTCTGACCACACTTGAAACATTTCACAACCGTAGGGCTTCTAAAGATCGTTCGACAGTTTTTCGCGCGATGACCCACTCGGTTACACAGAAAACATCGCGGAATGCTCTCCGGTGCACGCTTCTTTTCTTCGGGAGCCGATTTCTTCGAATCTTCAGGACACTCCTTCTTGACCCTGGCCAAATTAGTTCCACCTTGCGCTTCCAAGAATTGATCAGCCAATTCGAGCATGCCTTCAAGTGACTCAGCCTTCCTCTCTTTCAAGTACAGCGACAGGCTTCGGTGGCAACTAGTAAGAAATTGCTCTCTAATTAGGAGCTCTCTAAGCTCATCGTACTCCTGCGCTGTCCCTGAAAGTTCAATCCATCTGTCGAAATAATGGCAAAGTCGGGCGGCATACTGCGTAGCCGTCTCACCATCAGCTGGCTTTCCTGTCCGAAATCTTCCCGGAATCCTTCCACAGTAAATCTAAATCGCTTCGGCAAAGCAGCTTTCACCTTTGCATAGTTGGCTGCATCAGTCGGCGTCAGCCTACCGTACACACTGAGCGCTTCACCACTCAAGCAAGTACTCAAAGCAGTTCTATCTCGCTCGAGTTCTATCTCGTGCTGCCGCTGCCGTTCCCTTTCAGCCATCTCCGCTTCTCTTTCTTCTCTCGCCCTTTCGGCTGCCAACTTTTTCTCTCTCCAGCTCCAACTTCAATTGCTGCTCTCTTTCTTCCTTCAGCTGTCGCTCTTTTGCCTCTCTTTCTTCTTTCAGCTGTCGCTCCTTTGCTTCTCTTTCTTCTCTCGCCCTTTCAGCGGCCAGCCTTTCTCTCTCCAACTCAGCTGCTTTTTCTTGTTTGGCCCTCTCAGCTGCCAACCTCTCTCGTTCCAACTCAGCTGCTTTTTCTTCCTTGGCCCTTTCAGTTGCCAACCTCTCTCGTTCTAACTCAGCTGCTTTTTCTTCTTTGGCTCTCTCCGCTGCCTCTTTCTCCTTCTGACTTACCCACTTCCGTAGATCGGCGCCAGAAAGACCCATTTTCTCACCAAGAGCTACTAACTTTTCGAGATCCATGGTGTCTCGCAAATAAAGTCTTGCCGCGTGTAAAAAGTATCTGCCTAAATTAGTCTATCGGAACACTCCCCTGCACTCGTTAACGAGAACACTGAGCAACACACAAAATCGTTCCGATAGCACTATCAACAACTCGAGGCTCTTTCTCACTACTTTGGACACACTGTGCACCAAAAGGTCCTCGTCGCGGACGCCAGATTAATTGTCACACAGGTCCCGTTAATTATGGAGGCGATCGCCGCGCTAATTCCAAGGGCCGAAGTATCGGCCCTCAGAACCGCACCAAGAAAGCGTGGACAATTTAGAAGTGGTCCTTTTTGGTGCGCCAGCGGACGCCGGCTGTGGCCCAAAGAACAAGTCAGAGCCGAGAGTTGATAAACAAACAAAATTATATTCTCAATAATGGCAGATCAAACCAACACACAAGTATGCACACTCCACAATAGTTGCATACAATATGTCACCAATCAAACAACGTACTACACAGTACAATCAGCCACACTCGAAACAACGGACACAGACAACAATACGCACTACAATGCAGTCGCATGCATTGAACAACCAAGACACTTG